ACATTTCTGGTGTTTCATTATCATATTTATGTTGTAAAAGGTATATTGCTTTTATTATCTTATTATATCTATCATCATGATCAGGATCAGGTGAACAAAGCTTATAGTAAGCATTACTATCTAAATCCATCTTTATAAATGTTTAAGCGATAAAATAGTGTTTTATTGATTTATAGTGTTTTTAGCTGATTTAGTAATATTATACTCTAATAAATATCAGATTCAATTTTATAAGCGATTTTATCGATTTGTAGCCGATTTAGTGAGACTACATATTGCTAAACTCAAATTCATTTTTTATTTGATTATAGGGATTTATATAGGATCATATATAGCCGGCTAAGCTAAATTTATATATACACAGTGGTTTGGTATATCATATCACATGAGATCTCCCCTAGTTCCCTGCCGGTTCCTAGGAGAGTTCCAGGAGCTGGCAAGTTTCTATAAATCACAAGAGATCAGCCGATCAGATTCATTTTTATTTGAGACCAGCTGTGCATATGCAAATTATTTTATATTACCCTCAACCTGAGTGCCTTTGGATGATTTTATTTATTCGATAAGCAGTCATACAGCATTTACATGAATTAAAAGGAAGAAAAGCTCGATATGGAGATAATGACAAAAATGAAAAATCCAGACACACATGTCCGGGCGCAGTAATATGGCGCAGTAATAGTATTTTATCGAAGCATTTAATTTAATATCATCCCAAGACAAACCTGTAATAGTTGATAGTGAAAAAGTTTTAACTCATCCTATCGTTTCCCTACCCTTATCTGCATCCATTCATACATATGGGGGAAAAAATGCCAAGACTTTGATCGTTACCAATGGTAACGGTTTTTACCAGGAATTATGAACTATATTATCTGACCATGAATTATGTGAGTGGGCAGTTATTTAATGACTTTATCGCCCGGATGGATGTTCTGTACGTTACTACTTCATTGGCGAATTGCTACTTGAGGTTATTACATTGCGCAAAAAATTGGAATTCCACCCCTCAATCAAAGATTTCAAGGACATGATTGTCTAACCAATTTGATGGATTGATTCTGAGAAATGTTTCAAGGGAAGTGAATTATCACAAAAATATGCAAAATAAACCACTCACTAAATTATTGCATTACAGTAACTGGATAATAAATCATGTAACTTCCGCGATTGACAAAATACAGAAATATTTTTATAATCTGACGTTTTTTCTCTATTTGTCTCAAACATAATTATGCAAGCGATTTTTAGCAACCCACACAAATAAGTATTGTATATTCGGTTAAAAGTAAAAGTCATTGCCAAAAGAATTGTCATGTGATGTATCTAGAAAAATCATATGCTCGTAAACAATGCCAAGTATTATTTGTTATTCATATTATATATGCAAATTTTATTTCCATTGTGCTTTAACAATTTCGTTGTTAAAAAATATATAATAACTAGTTTTGTATCGTATGCGAAAAAAAAATCTCATTGTTTCAATAATAATTTGAGCTGTGGAGTGGTCGGCATTTTCCTAATAAACTTCACATTTTCAACTTGTTCAGGTGGTGTATAAGAACCCGGTGGTGGCCGATTTTCATAATCGTTTATGATTTCATTAACATGTTGCTACAAATACAAAGTGCAATGGAATTTGTAAACAAAACTTTATAATAAATCAAAATGAAACATTTCGTTTACCTCTATCGTTACAAAATGGGAAAATGTCAATACAATCAGCGGAAAAGATCCTTTATCAGTTGTTAATTTGTTATTAAAACATGGCCATGACCGTCATATGCTAAGTCAATAACAAAAGATTCTACAGTGTCTCCTATATTGTCAAATGAATTTTGTAAATAAAACGTTGTGGAAACAGCAAGTATATAATTATAGATATATACCCATGTTTAAAAAAGCAATCGACTTATTAGGTCCACCCTTCTCTAGTAACTGGTTTATTGATTTCTTTCCTTTAAGGTGTACTTTTACGAAATCTTGGTCTTTCCTATACTGAGTGTACCCCAAAGGCTTAATTTCGGAATTTAATACTGCGATGTTGTCAATCACACAGCTAAAATCTGGCCTTTGTTTTCCATTTACGCTTTTATTTAATTCTAGAGTGTATGGTGTATATTCTCCACCAAAAATAATTTTTATGAATGGATCTAGGTAATAAACGCAGTGCTTGTTTTCGGTTTCTTTTCGTTTTGACATCAGTGGAAGCTCGTCTTTACTAAGAGAAAAGAAATAAAATTTATTAATATTCAAATAGATAATTTGTTTTTTGATAATTTTCTGTAATACAATAGCTTACATGTAATTAAATATGCGTCTAGCCTTTTCACCTAATTCATTATTATCACTTAGCGTAAAGCTATGATTCAATCCAAGTGAAAAATTGTTGGTTGCTTTATAGAAGGTGTTTAAGAGTGAATCCGTTAAAATGGGTCGTGTGATTTTATATGGATTCGAATCAAAAACTTGTCGCCATTCAGAACTTGTGAATGTGGGGTAGGGACAAGGCCAACACATTACAATTATTGACGATAAGGCCCTAAAATATAATAGAGAAATTAATTCAGTACATCTTCATAAGTAAATGCAACAGATACTTTTGGAGTATTTACAATAGTTCATATGTGTCGTTCCATGTTAGTTTTGTTTCTTTCTGCCTGATGCTTGCGATTAACTGTTTTTGATACTCCTTAAATTTTCTCGAAACGTTAACCGTGCCTACTTCCCACTAAAACATAAAAATAATATTAAACATAGCTTAAATACGATAAATAGAATTGAAAGTTCAGTCGCTACTATATACCTCATTCAACGAACTGAATATTATTTGATTTTCCAGTTCTTCTAGATCATCACTCCTTATTTCTATTGTTTCATCGATTTGTTCGTCAGCAGGCGATTTGTGTGATTCATTATCAGATGCAGGTGCGGAGGGACCTTTTGTGGTTTTCTCAGAAGATTGCGAACTTGATGATGGTGACGTATTTCTCGTACGTGATCTTGAAAAATTAGGACTCGTAGATCCTTCGGCTCTATTGTTATCTGCTGATTGCGAAGCAGTACTACTTACTCTCTCCACTATCTCAGATTTCTCTTCTTCATCCACTTCAATATAGGAAACACGCTTCTTTTTTCGAGGTGATCTGCAGATCAAAGATTCTCCCTAAGAAAGCAACATATCCGTGGATTTAAAAAAAAATTTCGTAACTTATAACTAATTGTGGTTAAAAATCCCACCTCTTTTGATAGGGCCGAAGGGATTTCAGAATATACCGTTTCTTCTCCATTGTCAACACCTTGTTGTCTTTTTCCCGAAGTTGTACGACGATTGTCGATATTTTGAGTTGCAGAATAACCAGATAAGTTATTAAGTTGTTTTACCTTTTTTACCTAATCGGCGAAAAAATGTTAATAGATCCTTTTTTTGCCCTATAAAATTTCAGATTTAGAAGCTCACTTGCAGTTGCACGTTGGAAGCCGGGTTGGAACTTTTCAATTTCTCTTTCTGTGCGGTCCAATTCTTGGTAAGCAAAGTATTGAATCAATATAATAAAATTAAATTTCAGATCAAAACTATTTACGCAACAATTCATCCCAGAAGTATTTTATATATACAGAATCCACAATATTAAACTAAGAACTATCCTTTAGGCTAAGAGACCCAGCTTGCACTAAGCGTCGAACTAAGAGTTCATAACTGGTGGCTAAGAGACCCAGCTTGCGCTTAAGCGTCGAACTAAGAGTTCATAACTGATGGACTAAGTTCTTGGCTTATTCAAATTTCTATCCTACTAGAAAAAAACTATTCCCACTTTCTATTTTTATACTTTTTAAGGGACATACAGTACCTTCCAATGGTCAAGAATTTCTTGAGCCTTATGTCTACGCGTCTCGTCAAATTCAGAAACCGACCTCACCACCTTCTGTAGATCTTTCTTTATAGAATCTAGTAGTTTCCTCTGATTTTCTTTCATTTTCGCACGATAATGTTCTGTTAACTTTGCATATGTCCAGTCTTCGACCGCGTTTTCATGATAAAAAGTCATAGAAGTGGAATTTGATTCTGCCGTCATGGTTAAGTTTGTAATGTCTGAAATATTTGAATTCGGGTACATGCGAGAAGACTTCAATATACATATAAGATCAAGACTTAAAATTATGTTGGGGGAGATCAAGAGCAAAATGACTCATCACACGCTTATCGTGCTCTACCAAAATATTAGGATTAGGATCTGTCATCCCATCCCGCGTTACACAGTCGTTACACAATCTGTCACTGAAGTCACGGGTTTAGATGAATTGGTTTCACGGGATTTTTGAGCCACAAGCGACGCATCATACGCTTCTTGGTTCTTGCCGGGCAGTGTAAAAATTTGGTTCACGCAACTCCCATAAAATAAAATAAAAATCTTTTTTATTATTCTATTTTTTTTATTAAAAGCCAGGAACGTATATAAACATAAAACACGTTTAAAAAAATTCAAAATAAAATCTTTATTATATTTTCGTAAAGTAATACGTAAGAAAGGCCGGCCGATTAAGTAAAAATGAAAGTAAAAAATAATATAGTAGCAGGTTGTTTCAAGGGAGGAATTTGCCGAGCCCCAACTCATATAATGGCAGTTCCTTCCCCGCTACTCTACATTATTATTAAAACTAGCTACCCATGCGTTTATCTGATTAATTGTGCTAACATTACTACCACTAACACCATTATAAAAATTTTTCACTGTTGAAATCTTAATATTTCCTCCAAGACTACGAATATCAACTACTACCGAGAAGCACATCTCATCAAAAGTATAATTCCTCGCCTTCATAAGTCGATCAAAGTGTTGTTTAAAGCGAATTTTAATGTCTCCAGTAATATCAAAAATTCCAGATAAATTGGAACCTTCAGATGAAGAGCTTGAACTAGTTGAAGCTGAGGCAGAGTCTAGCGAACTTCCCAGTCCAGATTCATTAGTTTCAGATTCATTGGATACGCTTTGTTGATCGAAATCAACTTTTCAGACAATCGCATAACGTTGGGCTAAATCATTTTGAAGAATTTCAATAGAAGCTTTGATTGATGTAAATTCGGACGAAATGTTTCCAAAATTATTATGACAGGCTTCTTCGATCCTATCAAGCCTTTCAGTAATAGTACTGATCATTGAAAAGATTTTCTGCGTCTCCTTATTGAAGTCATCATCACGTGTCTTGTTTTTTTTGGCTTCTGCAGTAAGTTTACTATTAAGTTCAGTATTAATCTTGCCGAACCCTACATTAACTTCTTCGTTAAGTTTATTATTAAGTTCATTATTGATTCTGTCAAGCTTCGCAGTGAAAGTAGAATTAATATCGAAAATACATGTGTCAAATTTATCGTTAAGTTCAATAAAGATCTGGTCATGAAGTGATCTCTTTCCGATTTCCAGTAGTATACCAAGATCGATGAGAATTTTGATGACATGTGCGGAAAGTTCATTAGAGATCTTTTATTTTAGATTTCCATACATGTTAACGATTCTCACGAATATCGCTGGACTAACTAACAAAAAAATGATGGATAAGGCCAAAAATGATATGGCTTCCGAAGAGTTGAATTCTGTTAAACTGGACATGCTATTGATGCGCAGTAATTTTATTGAGATTTTATTGGTGGATCAAGTTTTTTAGATAATATCGCTTGATTTTTTTAATAGTAATAGTTATCTTGCGTAAATGCGCTGAGAGAAAAGTTTATTTTATACTGTATGCTTACTACACGTGAAAAGAGAATTTAACCCGATTTAATAAAAGTTGGCCGTTAAGGTGCTTCGCATGTTGCTTTATTAATTATTATGTGTATTTGTCATAACTACATTTTTCATAATTACGTTGCTCGTAGATGCTTGATTGTTGAAATAATAATGTATGACGCGTTAATAGTGTGAAATTGGCATTATGAATACTAATAAAGTACCAAGGAATTTTCTAAGATCATCTTTCGATCTGTGGGTAGGCTTACCCCGCTAGTATTTCTTTTTTCGAATTAATGAGAAAAAAAAGGTGGCCCCTATTCGTGCTCCATACAAATCTACTAACGACCGTAAATGGAAATTTGTTTTATATAGAATGTGGCCAGAGGCATCCCCCTTACATTTTATAGGATCTAGATCTGTAAATCGGTAGATTAAAAGGCAATTTCCATTCTTGTCCCATTCTAACATCAGGGATATTGGATTGACTTGCTTCAAAGATCGTAATATATGTATTATGTCAGAACCTTCCAGAAAAAGTCAAACATCATTACCGGATTAATTATTTTTTGATCTAGACCCAAGATCTACTTCCCCATAGATTTGCAAAAATATAACGGTATTTCATGAGATTTTGGCCCTGGCTTCATTGTTACAAAAATAGCATATATTAACCATTATTACGAAAATAGCACATCTAGATCAAAAAATAGGAGCACTGCGGAAACATATAAATTTGTCGTTCAGGTGATCGTGCCCTTATTCACTGCGGAGATGACGTACTTATTTACTTACTGCGTATGATATATGCTTAGCTAAGCCACCCATGTGATTCGAAAAAAAAGAAATAGATAATATACGATTTCGCATAATTCAGTCAATGCGAGTATGCAATTCATCCAATAATTCTCCTAAGCGGTTACCGGACTGTGACTAAACATTCATGATACTGCTTATGCTTTAGCGCTTGATTCAAAGAATTATTCTGGCTCAACTAGGTGAAGAGGTTTTTGAACATAAATTAAAGATAAGTATATCTTAGTAAATATCTCTCCAGCTATGGAACAAAACTTACTAATCGTTTCTGATCCTAGTGACGGTAATAATAAATTTGGGTTAGGCGCCGATATCGAGCCAGAGGTGCTATTTCATGATGATGATGACGATAAGTTCTGGCTGTTTGATGATGACAGCGAAGATGATGACATCGAAGAAGATGATGATTGGTGGTATCCTAGTGAATCGTATACTGGGTGGGATTATAAAAAAGATTTTGGTGAAGATGCTTGAAAAAAGCTTTATCGAGACAGGGAAGCTTGTCAATGTTTTATTCTTCTTAGGCTATTTACCATGCGCCTTCTCAATATATCTGATCAAGCAAAAAATGGATTATTTATCGCATTTTCTAGATCTAATTCATTTGGTGTATTAGAACACAATGCATTATTGGATGCTCTAGCTCATCCTGTGAAAGGTTTAAATCTTTTCGAATATGATAAACTCGGGTTTGATTTAATAAACAATGCGAAATTTCAATAAATCAAGCTCTGATGGATTACCTTGCTAACAGCTAACTGACATGGCTGATATTATTTTTTTCACAATGGGAATTATTCAATGTTAGACTCACTTTATTAATACACGCAAAAAATCGCGATTTACACGTCGCATAGCCCCTATTCTTCGGCAAGAATTTACTGGAGTATTTCAGGTGATCGGGTCCACATGACCAGTCTATGCTACAATTGCGAATTTGAGTTTATTACTTGAAGTGTTGCATGTAAGGCAATATTCCAATTTGTTTTAGGAATACAACTTCGCTAATTCAGGATCATAAGGGAGCTGATTCCCATTTTCGCAGTACCATGAGCTATATAATCCATAATTCTCATATTTTCCATCAAAAATAGGGCATGGTGAACTCCACAGCTGAGGTGATGTAAAATCATAATTATCAATCCCTCTGAAACTATTTCCGAATTTCAAGTATGGGAAGTGCTCTAAGACGGATTTGATAATTAATTCTAGATCAGGTCTGACTTCAAAAGTTATAGGCTCTTTTTCTTCACATTGCTCAGAAAATAAATAGGATACTTTATTTTCTGGCTTCGGATTTATGAGAAGACGGGCTTCTGATAATTGCTATGGCTCACATCCAGTTTCTTTTTTATATTTTTTGTATAAGTTGAAATGAATCTTATCCGTCAAAATGCTTAGTAACCCACTTAATTTGGCATACCAATCCAGATATTTGGGAGTTAATATTTTATCGGACTTGGTTATATTGCCTTTTTATATTATTGCAAATCAATTTAATTGACATAAATCAGCCCTGTAAAAAAATATCACAATGAAGCGTGAGCAAATATAGTATTGTAAAATAACGAGACTATACAGTTATCTCAATTTCGCGCTGTTCACATTTAATAAAATAGGATCCAGTCTTATATCTACCTTTTATACTTTCTTTATCCTTATGATCTAACTTGCATAATAGGCATGATGTCTCATCAGTAATGCCATAATAATCGAAATTTTCACTACTAAATTCTCTATACAAATTAGGATATTGATCCAATGTTTTGTTGTGAAAATAGGATCAGTCATAAGTTGAATTAGTCCTAGGAATTGATACGGGTGATACACTTGCTTGAAGTGTGGCTGGTGAAATCATTCGTGCTAGTCTGGTCTCAAAGAAATTACTTGAAGAATTAGAGTTACGAGTTGAAGGAATAGGTGCACTTATTTGGTTATTCTTAGTTTTTGGTGGAGTATTCTTAGGCAAATTTTTTCTGGAACATAATGTCTCAGAAATTTCAGTCACATGATCTGTTACCAGAGGTAACTTTTCTGAAGATATTCCATAATCTATAACCTCTTGAATTTGTTCATTAGTAAGCTTTGAAATAGAAGTTGCACTATAAGATTTAATATACTTGATTTTATTTAAGCCCACTCGTTCGATAAATTTATAGACTTTCTCAGCTCTCTGAGTTTTTTTGCATAAACTATCTCACGATACATCTCGAAGTTGTAACCCCGTTTCTTGGAATCTCTGTTTACGAAGCAAGTTAAGCTGTTTTGTAATGAAATCATAAAGTAAGCCTCTTGCCTTCTTTTCACCAAATTTACCTCCACTATTTTCTATAATTCCATTGAGCTGAATTATGAAATCCTTCGCATAGAGGGACCAGCACAAAATTTCTTCCTGATTAGCTCGATTTGCCCTATCTTTGACATCGAAAGCTTTATCACACAACTGGGCTAGATATTGTGAGGCCTCATCAATGCTAGATTTGTTATCAGAGGAAACTTTTCTGGGACATAATGTCTCGGAAATTTCGGTCACATGATTTAGTTCTATTGATGGCGTTTCCTTATAGGAAACCAACTCTGGAGCAAATAATTCTTGCTTAAGCTTATTCACATCCTTCACCTTCTTGCGCTTTGAATCCAGTTCGCTACATATCTTTTCTTCTGGATGTACTTCCCCGCCATCTGAATTAGCTGATACTTCCGATGATATGCTATTGCATGGCTAAGTAATCGAGTCGAAAACTTGAGGCCTCTGTTTACTACAGTAAACTATTGGAAGAGACTCTTGAGCTTGAAGTTTCTTTTCCCGATTTCTTTGCCTAATCTCATTACTAACCTTTTTCTTATGCACCTCATCCAAGAAAGTATACGTTTCCTTGTCTTCGGATAATGAAGTATCCACCGATAATTTCTCGTGATGCGTTACCATGGGTACCTGATTTGCAACCAAATTGAAGTTAGATGAACTGAGATTAGAAGAATTATCATTTAGTGTCTGTTTCTCTTCCACTTTTGTGACACGATCTCTAAGCTCAGTGTTCTCTTTAGTATTATTTTTTCTCAACTCCTCGATTGTGGCCCTGAGTTTGGCATTTTCAGCATAACGTTTCGTTCTCTCTTCCTCAGTCATTCGTAGAGTTTCAGCAATCATGCATTTAAACTCAGCTCTCAGCATCGAACTCTGAGATTTTTCTTCTAAGATCGGGTATTTCGGCATTTACGGTCTTGAGCTCACCATTCTCGATCTCAAGTTCAGTGATACGCTGTTTCAATAATTCAAGCTTGGATGACATGATCTATATATAACTAATACACTGTATATAAGCATTCAAAATAAAAAAAAATATGTGTTTTTTGACCGGGGCGCCCTGGCTGAAAATTGCCAAGAAAATTTTTATTAATATATGAAAAAATAAATACATAGTTTGAGACGTAGCCCAGGATACATGACGTCTATGCTATTATACATAATTATTTTTTCAAACGATATTCTTCTATTCTAGCCTTTTTCTTTGATAGAGAATCGTCTTCCGCACATGCCCTATCCTTTAATAATTCTACTACTACACCCAATACCTTTTTCACGCCATTATGTAAAGTTTAATATTCTGCAGACTCTTTATCCAAAGCATCTTCAGAAAATTCGATGCTAAATGGTAATTTACTGCCTTGTGAAATTTTCCCTGAAGTGTACAGCAGGCAAGCCGTAGTGACAATGCCATATAAATAATCGAAATCATCCTCATCATCCCGCTTTCATTTTCTCTTGTTCGTTTGGAATGAACTTTCAAGTTAGACGATATTCTGAGCGAATCCCTCGACTATATTTCGCTGTGGTTTATCCTCTGTAGCACAAATAAGGTTTTCGGCTTTCTACATCACATAATTTGTGGCCAAAGATCAGTGGTAATAAGTTAGCAAAAAAACGAATTAAAAAAAATGCACTATTTTCACTTCGAATTGCAATTAGAAGGTTACCTTGATTGCGAAGTCAACCCGTCCTGTGCTTTCATCACCTATTACTTCATATTCAGGTCTCATGCTGAGTTCTTTTCCTGTAAATCTCTTGTAATATTGATTGCGGTATGAAGAATTTGCCACGACTTCCAAGCTATCCACGCATAATTTTTTAACCTGACTAAATTTCCGCCATACAATGCTCGAGGTGCTTGTCAGAATCTTGAATTTCGTAAAAAAACATAAATGACCGATATTGTGATAAAATATTAAAAAAAAAGGGAAAATTCTTTTTTAGTTAATTTAAAATAAAGACTTAAATAAACTATATCCGAAAATAATAAAATAATAAATTGTTTAAATAATACATTTGTGAAACTCAATTGGCGTAAGATATCAGTTCTATCATTCATTATCACGTCCTGCTTCTTTTAGATAGTACGTGGGAAGGTTGGGGAAGTTCAGCTTTTGGAATATATTACTTTAATTGACATTCATTTATATAATTTAGTATAATCATTTTAAATCAATAAATGGCTTCTAAATATTACAATTGTGAAACTCAATTGGCGTTAGAATATAGTTTATTTGATTTTTCCTATATAATTAGCTATTTTCTGTAAATAAATGTTAAAATTTACGATCAAATTATCGAAGATAAGTAGTATTAGTTTACTAGTTTACTAATAATCCTACGAAATATTTTAACTATTATCATCTTTTAGTTTTTTTTTTACGGAGAAAGAATAATGGCATTAAGAAATAAATCAATTATTTTATTTGTTCTTATTGCTATCTACTTTATATCAACGTCATCTGCTAATGTTTGTCCTCCTACGTCAGTTCCGTGCGAACAATATACTATGTGCATTTGATGTCCTGGGGAAGAGTTTAATTGTAAATATAAGATACAATATTCAATTGATTCACTTTGCTAATATTTATTTTATTAATTCTAAACAAAATTAGGTAATTGTGGTTATGGTTATAATAAAGGTTATTTATACTGTGACTGTAGGGACGGAGGAGCATCATATTCTTCTCTGACAACCTTTCTACCGGAGACGTGTAAATACCCAGTACCTCCTCAAGCACCGGGTATCTGGGTAGGATATACTTGTACTTGTAGTAAAAAAATTTAATTTTTTATTTACGATTTTATGTATTATTATCTTTATGATAAAAGTGTTTACATTTCATCACATACGCTATAATTCACTATATAATAACCATCATTTATTATTATAATTTTCATTAAGTTTGAATCGTTAAGAATCGTAAAACAGATTCAACGGTTCACAATAATCTCAATAAATTGAAAGTGCAAATAACGGAAGAATTATCTAAAAAATCTACAAGATCTCAATATCTTCTGAATATAGTCGTGAACTCGTGATCAAACACTGCCATCAACGTTCGAATACAAATGGAACAGAATTCACACAGAAAAATATACCCTTATTATCTATTTCGCCAAGTCAACATAAAAGTTCACGAATTGTTTATGTAATTTTTCATGCTAAATCGCTTGGAATAACATTCTCTATGTTCATTATGCCTGATTCAGTGCTTATTAATCATCAAACTCGGTGATGAATGACGGGATCGTGATCACGACCTAATAGAATGCTTTTAATTTTTTTCTCCTTACAGTCCTTAACGAAGTCCGCAAGCACCAGCGCAGGACCAATGTCTCAAAAATCTTGCTTAGTCATTTTGAGAAATGCACGACCAGTAATATCTTCATTTTGAGAGCTTCCTCGCTAATCCCTAAGTCCTGTTCCCGTGAAAAAGAGATAAGTTTGGCCGTATTATATTTTTTAATGTCGTCCGCCAGCGTGACTGTCTCATTTCCAGTGACAGAAGTAGAGGTGGAAGCTGGAGTATAAGGTGTACTAGTTTCAGACATAGTCCCCGTCCACTCACTGCGTTCGTGTCCAGAAAAATTACAGTTCTGAAAATATACTCTATAGGCTAAGGCCTCTTTTTTTGTTTGAATTTTACAGATATGAAATTTGATCTTTTTCGGGTGATATCTGATAAAAAATAGTATTACTTTCTAAAAAAAAAATACTTCTGGGAAAAAGCAAGCGTTAATATATGATCTTATGTTACACAAGCATTGCATAATTACACATGACCCATTTCTCATGTACAGTATAATAATAATACTTTATTTATGAAATAAAGACGTTGCTGATAGCTGGCCTACAATACATAAAATTGCGAATATACCGCTACATGATGTTTCAAATGAATACAATAATATGAATTTATCGTTAGGAGGGTGCTGGGGAAAATGCCTAGAAATTAATTGATATGGGAACATTTCTTCTCCTCTGTCGCCTTGCTCATTATTATATTGTCTAATTTGATCGCTAATAGTTATAACTACTCCTGAATTGATCTTGCGAAGAATAAAGTTGGTAGGAAGAATATTTTCAAATAATGATGGCCACCTTTCCTTAATCATAGGTCTTAACTGATCAACCGTCTCATTGGTAGAGATCTTAAGCGTAGTAATACTATGTCTTGTTACACTTTCAGGCTCGGCGTTAGGGATAACAAGGCAGTTAAGAGTTAAAGTATTGGCCATTGTCTGGTTCCTATTTCCAAGGACTTATGGTTAGAAAAACTCGCTCCCATACATACATAATCTATGGCATAAACATACCTTGTTTTGCGTTATTTTCTCTGGGAATGTTTTTTGCAGAAATTTGGCTGAACTTCTACATATCCCTACATGCTTTATATCTGGCTAGGAAAAGGATAAGGAGTTATAAGGCGTAATTAGTATTGTCGTATGATACTAAGAGTCTCTTGAAAGTACATGTAAATGGAATCCTCTTACCTTTTCACATGTAGATCTACCGGAAAGACAGTTGGTTTTACGCCTGACGATCTCGAAAATACAAAGTTCTCGACCTTTCACAACATATGCTTTTGATGTTAATATTTACTTTTACAGTAGGTCCTATGTTGCAACTAGACCTCCTTTCATGCGAAACGCCTAAAGGAGTGAGATATCACCATATGATATAATTATATCATATAGTAGTATCCCACTTGCCCTAGATTATATTACCACTGTATAATCTGAATACCACCATATAATCTAATTACCACCATATAATCTGAATACCACCATATAATCTAATTACCACCATATAATCTAGATACCACCTTATAATCTAATTACTACCATATAATCTGGATGCCACCATATAATCTAATTACCACCATATGATCTAAATAATATAATCTAGTTATCACCATATAATCTAAATAATATAATCTAATTGCTACCATATAATCTATTTATTTTACGTATTAGGTATCTTTTTTTATGCTTTAGCTTTCCTTTTAAATCTTTCTTGTTATCTGCTTTTTTACCACCATATAATCTAACTACCACCCACCATTTAATCTAACTACCACTATATAATCTAAATACCACTATTTTCTTCTTGTTTCTGAGTCGTTTACATGCTAAATTATATAATGGGATTCTTGACACTCTGTAGCTGTTTGGATACCTAGTTTTATGTCAAGGTGTTGAGCTTCTGAGCCTTATTGGGTGCTGGATTCTATATTGGAGTACTTACCCTTTGCGCCTATTTAGTTGCCTTTCTAGATACCGAAATAGTGTAAAAAAAAGTGACGGGTGGCGCAGTAAATTTGGTGTAAATCTGCGTCTAAATTTGGCCGGCACTATGGCATAATTCAGGCTGATCTTGAGGGCATGTGATTTGGAGGATCCAGCTTGGCACCATGATGGTAACTTGATAGTGTCTTGGAACTTCTGTGGAGCTGTCATGGAACTGGCAGGGAATCTGAGTGTTTCTATTAGTTCACCAGTCTCAGGCCAGCTTGGATGCCAAATTATTATGCCCAAAGTGCTGGCCGAATTTATACTGCGCCTTACTGTGCCAGTCACGTGATTCTGTTACGACACTGAACATAGTTACGGGATAGTGACGGGAATGTTTTGGGAATGTTTCCAGAACCCAATATATATGCATTTGTGCCACATATTTTTTGTATCCATATATTTCTGAAATATTCCTAACACTCTCGAGCTCCAGTCTGGCGAATGGTTGGTTAGTAAAGAATTGGAAGTGCAATATGTATTATCTTGGCCTGACCCATTTGATTATCAGAAGTACACCATTTCACAATCCAACTATTGCCTATTAGTTGCTGGTATAATCATGCCAATTTTGCATCCTAAAGTTTGTATTATTAGAGTGCATTCATTGTATTTCCAGTTGGTTTGAGAATTGGTAATGCGAAATGTATTATCATGGCCGGCCCTTTTGATTGCCAGAAGTGCACTGTTTTATAACCCAACTATTACGCTGGTATAAGTATGCCATTTTCGCGTCTCGAAATTTGAAACATTTAAGCACATTTATATTGTATTTCTGGCATGTTTCCAGCCATATTTGAGCCAAAGAAAACATACCACTTACCCAAATTCATACTAGTGATGGGGTAGCCAAGTGCCAATATTTCTGAAGAAGTCTTCATATCATACCCGGGTACATATCTAGGTAGGATAAGTCTGCGGAGGCTATACCCACATATACCTGAGTACATATCTAGAAAAGGGTAGCCTTATGCCAATATTTTATATAATGATTACGTAGAAGGCTACACTAAGTGTCCACATATACCTGAGTACATACCATCGAGATGAAGCCTTCTTCCAATTTTTTATATAATATTTCCAAAGAAGGCTTCACTTTTTCAGATACATCTGGTTGCCTTTCTTTCACGCCTTGCCATATAAGTTTGCTATCACTTCTTTTTTGCAACTATTGAAAAAAATTAATTAAACATTTCCAAAATTTATAGAGATAGTATAACTTTTCGAACTAACACCATGCATACCTCAACTATTTTCGACCAAACTGATCGCTTCAGAACCGCCCCAGCCCTCCGCTACAACGGCGCCGACCCCTTAACTGGTATTCTATCACGTAATGATATTGTGGCAGAATTTGATAATAGGATGACTGTTATACTTCAACAAAGCCTATCTGGCAAGTAACCCATACATTTCATGCCTACTGAAGTTAGTGATGATACCTCCGAATATGTAAATGGTATCTCCTCCTATATTTTGCGTATTACTGGTACTTTGATTAATGGACAAAAAGCAGTCGTAAAAATTACAGGCATTAAGCCCTTCTTTGATGTCGAAGTATCTGAAGAGATGCCACTATCTACATTTAAGACCAGATTAGTAAATATATTATCCAATACTCTCAAAGGTACATCAAAATTTGGGATTGAGAATATTAGTGCTTTCCCACTTCAAGGATATCATACAGAGAAAAAATTATATATACGTATTATTACTTGGAATCAATTTGACTGGTATAATGCGTTAAAGGCAGTTCGTAAAGTCGGTATCCGTACAGCTTCTGATGATCTAACCCTAATATATTATTACCGCAAAGTAGCCCGTGAAAAAAGATTACCTCTTTCAAGTTGGGCAACATTAAGTAATTATTTTCACGAATACATTCAAGGGGATACTCATCTCTTCCAAGTTTCTATGAATAATTACAATCCAACAAGTGAGGATGATTATAATAATCCATTATTCTCTTTGGCCCTTTCACGGGACTGGACTCTAGTTCTCACATAGGACATAGAGACATATAGTTCGCTTGGACTAGGTAAATTTCCTACTGCGCAGAGCGATGAATCTAACGTGTTCATGATTTGCATGTCAGTTCATTGGAAAGACGACCCTAATCCATTAAAACAAATCTGTCTCGTAGATGTTGAAACTGCACCAGATCCTAGCTGGATCACGATTATATGTGGATCCCAAACCAATTTGCTAAAAGCTTTCGCCTTGTGTCGGGAACTATTATCCCTGGATATACAAATAGGATTTAATGATTCTCAATATGATTGGCGATTTATTGTAGAGAAAGCTAAGAAGCTAGGAGTTCTCGAAAAGATGTTCAATCGAATGTCATTAAAGCCATTGAGCCTGGAAAAAATCACAAAATGGCAATACCAATATAACAAGATAAAGGTTAATGATATGCCATTTCATTCAAAGCATCTCAATACCTCGGGATGTGTAGCTATTGATGTCTGACCTTGCTTTATAAAATTATATTCTAAGGCCAAAAAGAGCAGTTTAGCGTTCTACCTAAACGAATGTGAGCTCGAAAGTAAAATGGACATGCCTTTTCACCGCATGTTTAAGTATTATGGAAGGGCTTTGAGAGAAACTAATGCTACAACAGCCGAGTAGATGCATAAAGTGGCCAAATACTGCATGATCGATGCTCTTAGCTGTTAGCGGTTAATGGTCAAGCATAATGTAATTAATGAGTACAGGGAGGTTGCAAACATAGCATTTATTTCATT